GGGGTCGAGGTGTGGCTCTCGTCGGCCCAGTTTCCCTAGTCCAATGGCAGGGCAGAGGCTGGGGTCAAGGCCGCCAAGAGGCTCCTCAGGGATAACACTGGGCCCGGGGGGAAACCTGGATTGCGATAGGACATCCCAGGCCCTCCTCCAGTACCTGAACACGCCTCTGCGGAGGGTGAACAAGTCGCCCGCCCAACTTGCCACCGGCCGCCAGCTCCGTGACAGCATTCCCGTGGCCAGACAGCACTATAAGGTGGACCAGCACTGGCGGCGGGCACTTCGTATGAGGGAGGTGCGCTTGGCCGAAACCCAGGACGGGATCCTTCTGTCGAGGGGGAAGGTGTCCAGCCAGCTGGTTCCCCTAGCTGTGGGCGGGCAGGTGCGTGTGCAGGACGCCGCCACCAAGCTCTGGGACAGGACGGGCATAGTGGTGGAAGCCCGCCTTCATAGACATCATGCCATCAGGTTGACTGACAGTGGCAGGGTGTCCATCCGCAACAGATGCCACCTGCGATGCAGCGCCACCCGTGCATACCACTCCCGTTGTGCACCACGCTATGCCTCCTGGGCCCCCTTCTGCAGTGCACTCCGTACTCAGGCCCTTGCTCGCCCCCCCACGGCCCCTTCCCAGTCGGGTATGGCCAGGCCAGGGAGAGGCTGCAGGCCCCCGGGTTGGTTAGCTGACTATGTAGTGTAAAGTTCTCTTTTTTTTCCTATCCGCTCTCTCTCTCTGGGAGCTTATGAACATGTCATTGTTTTATATCACTGCAAATGTTTTCCTTTCATTGGTTCAAAGGGGCAATGTCATTTTCTTTTAACTTGGGGGGAGGGAGGGGGAGATGTAAGATTGTAAGATGGAGTAACAATGTACGATATGTTTCCCCATGTGAGAAGGCGGGAGTTTGTCTGTGGCAGCGCCGAGTTGCCAGTTACTGTCTGGCGCTAGCTAGAGTAAAGTCTCCACAGAACCTGGTATATTATTGAAACCTCTCACACATACAGTGCAGTACAGAGTATAGTACAGTATATACATACTTCAAGTACATATGGCACTCATCCATGAAAAATTTCTGCTGAAAACCACCAAGCATTAGAAGTGAGATGGGAGTAAACCTTCAAAACACGAAGCAAGAGCTGCACCCACTCCGCTGCCTCATCCCCAAACAAACCTAAAAAATTATTAAGCAAAGCAAACTTGCTTATTGTACTTACATATTGTTACGAACACCTTTTGTCGCTTACCAGCTTCCGCCGCTGGTACCTGCGGCCAGGATCGTATATACAGAAGCAGTAAATATATCAAAAGTGTCTTCAAATTACCACTGGCTGTCCCTCCAGTCTCCGGTAATTCCCCGATGATCGGTATCAGTGTACAGACAAACAACAGCCAGGTAGATTTCCACCAGGTCACAGAAACACACTTGTGCATTGTAGTCGTCTTTAATGATAACTAAATCTTCACAAAACTGTTCACAGGGTAACCCTCACACCTTGATATCTCTCTTCAAATATATACAGTCAGCACACTGCCAGTGTACAATTCCTTAGTCTTTTCACTTTGTATTACTAACAACAATTCCACAATGCATGAATGCCACTAGGCTTGTAGTTCACACTCTAAGCAGAAACAGACAACTCATTTCCCAAGGCAGCTCACCGGCATTTATATACATCTCATCAGGCTCCCAGAACATTCTAGCACCATCCAGGTGTTGCAGGTCAGAACGACATAAGCCCTTAAATAATGAAGAAAACTTGACGTGAGTGGCAGCTGTCGTTGTTGTCGAGTTGCCAATTCATTAATATAATTTTCTTCATTAAGCAAATATATGAAAAATTGGAAACTTCTCATCATCTAAAATAATGATGAATAGTTTATTACTGTATTATAAAAATGCTGCCTTTGGTTTGTTTATATTTATCCTGACAGTGATACAACCGAAAATAGATCCACCAATGACAATCAGCATTACAAGTAAAATTGTGAGTACGAGACCCAGTGTGGGGTCAGTTCATCTTTGGTTGACTGCATCTCCATTTACAACAAGATTTCTATGGGTACAGTCAACCCTCACTTTACCTGGTCCCACATTCCGCGTTTCCGCGTTAACGCGTGCCTTGCCAGAACCTCACGTGCTCACATTACGCAGTGCGTGAACCCCATTACGAGAGAGTGTCGGCCTTTATTTTAATTCGCCCCACCCCTGCCTGCCTGTGCTCTCGCCTCTCCTCCTCCTCCTCCGCTTAAGCAAGCCGCCTGTAAGTACGCAGCGTTATCACGAAGTCATAAGGACGATCGACTGTGACGGGCCATGCATCCCTACCCCCCCTGCTGCTAGCCGTAATTGGCTTTAAAGTATTATGCGGACGTGTCCACCCGGGAGGGAGGGAGGAAAGATGATCCTGACCCAGCGCCAGTTTCATCCCTCCACGCCAGACCGTAAACGCACCATTGTTCTTCAAAATGGCTCCACCGACCACCACCACCCCAGAGAGAAACCTTCACCTGGACCCAGCGCACTAAGCCGTACATACCACGTCTTCTTGCTACGAAAGTGAAGAAGTACCATCATCCAAGAGTTGAGAAAGGAACAAGGTAAGCTTGATTTGGCGCGCCAGCATGGTGTGAATGAATCTTTATCTGAACAACAGTATGATGCAGCTAAGATAAAGGAGCACATGAAGATCACAAAGCTTCACAGGTGCTTCAAGGATCATATTTTCACAACCAAAGCTTCCTCAAGACAGAAAAATTACTTTGGTGAGGGTACTTGCGCGGCCAGGGCGCGACGGAACATGGCGTCGACACGCCGCTTCTGTTACGAGTACGACGTAACCGTACATGGCAGGCACGAAAGATGGGGAACTACAGAGCCTGCAAACTCCTTTAATGCTCCTCTGGTGGTTACAGAGGTTTAAGATCCGGGACAAGATCACCAATATAGCACAGGTGAAGAAGGAAAGGATTGCAAGGCGAAGTAGGGGAATTTCCGTTTTAAGTAGACGCGAGGAAGGATACAGCATGACCAGGTGTTTAACATGGACGAATCTGGTCTTTTCTGAAAAGCTACCTCTCAAGTCCTTCGCTGTAAAGAATGCCAGCCAGATTCGGGTCAAGATGCAGAAGGTTCATCACCGCTCTGTTTACCACCAATGCCTCCGTACCAGTAGCTCAACACGTATCAACAGCATCGTTAAGTCAAGACGCCTTACAAAACCAAGCGGACATGACCAAGCTTAAATGTCCACACTGGCTGATCTTGACGTAGCGTGATGTTCTCTACACCGTCCTCTCCTGGCTCTGATGACCGTTTTGTTCCGATGTAAAGAAATTTGAAGAATGTTTATCTAAGATTTTGTTGCTGCTGACAACGCACCAGGACACTTCGCCCTTACTGTTAGATCGTCACCCCAACGTAAAAGTGGCTGGGTCTTCCTTCCTCCCAACACTACGCCTATATTATGTTTCCAAGGGACCGTAAGAGTTAATCTGTACGTAAAAAGCTGCATTCTATGAAAAATTCAAACTCCCAACGACTACACAACACCAGGGAAGAGTTACAGAACCTGGAGTGACACCACCACCTATAGCAAGAGCAAGAAGATGAGGATCAACAGTTGGCACAGCAAAAAACACTGTTCAAACAATTTGATAGTATTTACATCAAGAAAGCTGTGGACTTTTGGTGAGTCATGGGATCAGCTGTCTATTGCCAATCTGCTTATGGAGACATGTGTTGTATGGAATACCAGGTGAGAGGAGGAGTCAATCTGTGATCAGAGGTTCAGACTGGTAGCAGTGGACCTTGCCAGAGAAGCTGCGAGACCGTTGTTGTCCAGGCTTCTCCCGAGACCACCAACGACGACATCCTGGAGGTGATATGATCCTGATGTACTACCGCCGACGAGATGGTAGGATGATGATGATGACTACGTCAGTGAAGAGCAGGTAAAATATCCCCAAGAAGAACGCCGCTTTATCCCACAGGTAATGTGCCATCGAGTGTACTTCCAGGAAAGCCAAGCCCTCCTTTCCGACAACCCTGACGCAAACAGGCATGAAATCTTCATACCCAGCGCCGTTGCAGATTATGGAGTCTTACATCAAGGTGTACCACAACATCAACACCAGCCGTCAGCAAAGCATAAATAGATTTTTCACCAAGAACTCACCAGTTGTGTCACGCCCGCCAGTGATAGTGACAGTGAAGATGACTTTGAGGGATTTACCAGAAATTTGACAACTGTAAGTGACAGATGCAGGATTCACCTAGTAATGGTAATTCACCTGAGGGCCAGTAATCTGCCCCTCTGCCTCGGAACCAGCCTCCATCCCCGTGATGTCAATTCATCTCTTCTACTAACGTAAGTGTTCCACATAACTTTTTAGTTTTCCTAACCTTAAACCTTTATTTTTCCTATGTTAACCTTTTTATTTTTCTAACCCAACCTCTTCTATATACTGTTTTTTCTTACACCATCATAAAGATAAGATAAAATTTTTATCATAACAAAGTTGTGTGTCGCCAAAAGTGTAGTTTATGTGTCGTCAAAAGTGTAGTTTGGTTGTGGACTCTATTCCAATTATCCCATATGTTATGTTATTCACTTTATGGTTCCTCACTTTCCTTGGGACCCTGCAATTTACATTACCGCATAAAGTGAGTTATACTGGATAAGCTTACCTTGAGCAGCTGTAACCTTCTGGATAAACTTACCTTGAGCAGCTATAGCCTTCTGGATGACTTACTGCAGGCAGCTATAGCCTTCTGGATAAACTTACCTTGAGCAGCTATAGCCTTCTGGATGTGCTTGAGGTAAGCCCATCTCCAGTAGAGGAGTGGCTACTGGTGGCGGCAGAGAAGGAAGAGGAGTCAGAGGAGGTGACGGTGAATGACTCCTAGCCATGGGAGGCAGGGGTGCACTCTGTGGGGTCAGCGGTCCAACTGAACGTCCTCTGGGAGGACCCATCTTGAGGCAAAGAGATGTAGAAATAATATTGCTGAACGCATCTCCACTCCTGGGTATGTAGCAGGAGCACAAGGAACGGTGATGGGAAGGCCAAGGGATGGTATGGGACGTTTGGGGACTCTAACATCAGCAGTGGCAGATTGTAAGTCCGATATATTCTGTTGCCGCTCTGTTACTTCAACAATCTGTAGCACAAAGAAGGACAGATATTGAACACATGTATATTTTTACGTCTACATAAAACTGAATCAAAATATAATCCTCAACTGAAACTATTTTTAATAATTTCAAAATAGTATAAAATAAAAAAGTTGAATCTACACACAGTGTAATATCCTCTTATCACACACACACACACACACACACACACACACACACACTCCTAATGCTCCTAGCATGCACACACACACACAATATAATGTCTCCTATCACACACACTATAATGCTCTATCACCCACACACACACACCATCATAATATAATGTATCACACACACACACACAATATATTCTATCACCCCACACACAATATAATGCTCCCATCACACATACACACAATATAATGCTCCTATCACCCACACACACACCCACAATATAATGTCTTCTATCACCCCACACACACACACACACAATATGCTCCCATCACCACACACACACACACAATATAATGCCTCCTATCCCCACACACACACACAATATGATCTCTATCACACACACACACACAATATAATGCTCTATCACACACACACACAATATAATAACTCTCTATCACCCCACACACACACACACACAATATGATGTCCTATCACCCACACAATATATTATGTCTATCACCCACACACACAATATAATGTCTCCTATCACACACACACACAATATAATGCTCTATCACCCACACACACACACACAATATGATGCTCTATCACACACAATATAATGCTCCTATCACCCACACACACACAATATAATGATCTCCTATCACACATACACACACAATATAATGCTCTCTATCACCCCACACACACCCACAATATAATGCTCTTCTTTTCACCCACACACACACACACACAATATAATGCTCTATCACCCCACACACATATAATGCTCTCTTATCAGCCACACACACACAATATGATGTCCTATCACACACACACACACACACAATATAATGCTCTATCACACACACACACACACACACAATATGCTCTATATCCCCTCACACACACACACAATATGATGTCTCCTATCACCCACACACACAATATAATACCTCTATCACCCAAACACACAATATAATATCTCTATCACACACACACACACAATATAATGTCTCCTATCACACACACACAATGATTAATATACTATCACCCACACACACAATATAATGCTCCTATCACCCACACACACAATATAATATACTCCATCACCCCACACACACACACACAATATAATGCCTATCACACACACACACACACACAATATGATACTCTCCTATCACACACACAATATAATATACTCCCTATCACCCACACACACAATATAATGCTCTCCTATCACCCACACACACAATATAATGTCTCTCCCACACACAATATAATGTATATCCACACACACACAATATATTATATCACACACACACACAATATAATGCCTCCTATCACCCACACAATATGTGCTCTCTATCACCCACACACACACACACAATATAATGTCTCTATCACCCACACACACACACAAAATATAATATCTCCTATCACACACACACACAATATAATGCTCTCCTATCACACACACACACAATATAATGTCCTATCACCCCACACACACAATATAATGCTCCTCCTATCACCCACACACACAATATAATGCTCTCTTACACACACAACATATAATGTCTATCACACATACACACATAATATATCTGTCACCACACACACACAATATGTCCTCTATCACCCACACACACACATATAATGCTCTCTATCACCCACACACACACACACACAATATATATCACACACACACACACAATATATATGTCTATCACACACACACACACACACAATATAATGCTCCTATCACCCACACACACACACACAATATAGTATATCTATCACCCACACACACACACACACAATATAATGCTCTGTCACACACACACACACACAATATAATGTCTATCACCCACACACACACACACACACAATATAATATCTCTATCATCCACACACACACACAATATAATGCCTCCTATCACACACACACACACAACACAATATAATGTCCTATCACCCACACACACACACACACAATATAATGTCCTATCACACACACACACACATACACAATATAATGCTCTCCTATCACCCACACACACACACAATATAATATATATCACACACACACACACACAATATAAATATCTATCACACACACACACACACAATATAATGCTCTATCACACACACACACACACACAATATATTATATATCACACACACACATATAATGCTCTCTATCACCCACACACACAATATGCTCTATCACCCAACACACAATATAATGCTCTCTATCACCCACACACACAATATAATGTCTATCACACAGAACACACACAATATATAATCTCTATCACCCACACACACAAATATATATATCACACACACAATATAATGATCTCTATCACACACACACACAATATATATCTCCTATCACCCCACACACACACACAATATAATGCTCTCTATCACACACACACACACACCACATATATAATATCTATCACACACACACACACAATATAATGCTCTCCTATCACCCACACACACACACAATATAATGCTCCTATCACCCACACACACACACAATATTATACTCCTATCACACACACACACACACACAATATATCACACACACACACACACACAATATAGTACTATCACACACACACACACACAATGTGCTCATCACCCCACACACACACAATATATGCTCTCCTATCACCCACACACACACAATATAATGCTCTATCACACACACACACACAATATAATGCTCTCTATCACACACACACACACAATATAATTATATCACCCACACACACAATAGTATATCACCCACACACACAATATAATGATCTCCTATCACACACACACACAATATGCTCTCCCATCACCCACACACCACATATATATCTGTCCAACACACACACACAATATAATGCTCTCTATCTTACACACACACAATATAGTATACTCTTATCAACACACACACACACAATATAGTGTCTATCACACACACACACACACAATATAATGCTCTCTATCACACACACACACACACACACAATATATATCACCCTCACACACACACACAATATGTGCTCTCCTATCACCCCACACACACACAATATAATGCTCTCCTGTCACCCAAACACACAATATAATGCTCTCTAACACACACACACACACAATATAATGTATCACCCACACACACACACAATATGAATGTCTATCACACACACACACAATATAATGCCTCCTATCACCCACACACACAATATAATGCTCTCCTATCACCCCACACACACACACACACACACAATATAATGCCTCTATCACACACACACACACAATATAGTGTCTCCATCACACACACACACAATATAATGCCTCCTATCACCCACACACACAATATAATAGCTCTCCTATCCCACACACACAATATAATATCCCTGTACCCCACACACAATATAATGTCTCCTATCACCCACACACACAATATAATCTTCTGTCACACACACACACAATATAATGCCTCCTATCACCCACACAATATGATTAATATCTATCACCCACACACACACACACACAATATATACATCTCCTATCACCCACACACACACACAAAATATAATGCTCTATACACACAATATAATATATCCCCACACACACAATATAATGCTCCTATCCATACACACACACAATATATGCTCCTATCACCCACACACACAATATAATGCTCTCTATCACCCACACACAACATAATGTATCACACCACACACAATATAGTGCTCCCTATCACCACACACACACACACAATATAGTATCTCTATCACACACACACAATATAATGCTCTCCTATCCACACACACACACACACACAATATAATGCTCTCTATCAGACACACACACACACAATATAATGCTCTATCACCCACACACACACACACACATATATATCTATCCACACACAACTTCACCTATCACACACACACACATATAAGTATGCCCACACACACACACACACACAATATAATGCTCTATCATCCACACACACACAATATAATGCTCATCACCCACACACACACACATATAAATGCTCTATCACACACACACACACACAATGTGTATCACCCACACACACACACACACAATATATATCACACACACACACACACACACACAATATAATGCTCTCTATCACACACACACACACAATATAATGCTCTATCACACACACACACACACACACAATATAGATGTCTATCACACACACACACACACAATATATGCTCTCTATCACACACACACACACACACACACAATATAATGTCTCCCTATCACCCACACACACACACACAATATTATCTCCTATCACCCACACACACAATATAATGCTCCTATCACCCAGACACACAATGTCTCTTCCACACACACAATATAATGCTCTCCATCACACACACACAATATAATGCTCTCCTATCACCCACACACACAATATAATGCCTCCTATCACCCACACACAATATAATGCTCTCCTATCACCCCACACACACAATATAATGCTCTCCTATCACCCACACAACAATGCTCTCCTATCACACACATACACACACACAATATAATGCTCTCTATCACACACACACACACAATATAATGCTCTATCACACACACACACAATATAATGCTCCTATCACACACACACACACACACACATTGCTCCTATCACACACACACAATATGCTCCTTCACACACACAATATAACCTATCACACAATGCTCTCTATCACACACACACACACACACACAATATAATGTCTCCTATCACCACACACACACACAATATAATGCTCTCCCTGTCACCTAGACACACAATATAATGTCTCCTATCACCCACACACACAAT